GGTTAGCCTTTGGCTCTTGGCCTCGTGCAGAGAGCAGGCTCCTTTGCACATGCAAACGGGGAGGTGCAGGTAGTCTGTGCCTCGGCTGTCAGCGGGAGAAGAGGCACGAGGCCTGGCCGAGCCCTGAAGATGCTGTCCTGTAGAGAGCAGTGGGATGGGGACACATGGGCTGGTGCATTGTAGCAGGGGGCTGGGGGCTTACTGGGGGTCACTTCTGACCCCATGCAGGTTGCATGAAGGCCGGGTAACCTAGTGGCTAGAGCATGGCACTGTTCCTACTCTGCCACTGTCACGACGTCAGGCAAGTCGCTTAAGCCCTCCATGCCTCAGTCTCCACCTCTCTAAAATGGGGACAATGAGGGGGCACATCTGCAACTGCTCTTCTGTCTAGAAAGGGTGGGGGGGTCTTTTGTTCCTTCCTCTGTGTCCCCAAACCCTGCCACTGACCCCTGCCCCCCCACCCAGCTGGGTGTCCGTGCTCCAGAACAGCAAAGACGAAGCCCTCAGCAACGCCTTCAAGGGAGGCCCCGGCAGCTGCATGGCCTCGGCCAGGGGGGCGGCCGATGGCAGCCTGCAGGAGCTCACCAAGCTGGTCATCGGTGAGGTCAAGAGCCTGCCGGGCAACAGGCAGTGCTGCGACTGCGGGGCCCCAGGTAGGTCCTGGCACCGCCGATGCACGCGGAGGGGGAGAGGGAGCCGTCGCGCTGTGTGCCCCTCGGATGAGGTGCCATCCCCAGCATCAGCAGCTCTGCTCTCCCACTTCTAGATCCATGATGGGCATCGGGTATGGGAGGAGAGGGGCGGAGGGTCCCAGGGCTGGGAGCGCCTGGCAGAAGCAGGGGAGCAGGACGGCTGGGTTTCTCCAAGGAGCAGCCCTTGGCCCGGCTGTAGGGAGATCGGGACTAGAAGGGGCCACAGTGCATTGGGGGCTGCGACAGTGCTAGCAAGCAGGGCATGCTGCTGCCTTGCAGATCCCACATGGCTCTCCACCAACCTGGGCATCCTGACGTGCATCGAGTGCTCGGGCATCCACCGCGAGCTGGGCGTGCACTATTCCCGCATCCAGTCCCTGACCCTGGATGTTCTCAGCACCTCTGAGCTGCTGGTAAGCGGCTCCCATCTCCCCACAGAGGTGTCCCCTTTGGCATCTCTGCCTCCCCTGCCGCTCTGCTCTGCCCATCCCCTCCCAGTCCTGAGCCCTGGCTAGAGGAAGGGAGGGAGGAAGGGATGGAGTAGCGTCCCTGTTCCCTTGGGATCACTCCCAGGAGGGTCCGAGGCACGTGGCTAGTTGCTGGCGCTCAAGCCACGGTGGACCCCCACTGCCCGGTTTCTCCTCTGTCCCGCAGCTGGCAGTCAGCGTTGGGAACGCCCGCTTCAACGAGATCATGGAGGCCACGCTGCCGGCGCAGGGGAACCTGAAGCCATCATCAGGCAGTGACATGTGAGTAAGAAAGCTGAGATCCCTGCCCCAAACCCGCCAGCCCTCGAGGGAGATGGGGAGTCGGGGTCTCTTGCTACAGCGGTGCCTCGGGGCTGGCTGAGCCTTTCCCTCCAGGTGAGGATGGTTTGATTCGACATGCCTGCCTTACCCTTGCTTCAGGACCCTGCAGCCAGGCACGGGCAGTGGTGTCTGCCATGCCCCGGCTGAGATGGCACCTCTATGCCCCCTGCCCCGCAGGAGCGCCAGGAAAGAATATATCGTGGCCAAATACATGGAGCGCAAATTCGTGCAGAAGACGGGCAGGGAAGACCCTCACCGGCTCTGGGAGGCTGTCCGCAGCCGGGATGTCTTGGCGCTGCTCCAGGCATTTGCAGAAGGGCACGACCTAGGCAAACCTCTGGCAACCCCCGACGGCCAGGTGAGCCCTGCCTGGCTCTTGCTTGCACGGTGCTGACTAAGGGCACCGTCTCCTCGAGGCCTGATGCTGGCTGATTCCTGGCGTCTGCATCACAGGAGACTGTCCAAAGTGCATCAAGGCCATTGCAGGCCTGGTGGGGAGCCCAGCTCACAGGTTCCCATGGGACCTCCAAGAAACCCAGTTCCCAGTCTCCCATGCTGGTGGGATCTGACCCAAAGAGTGTGGGTTTGAGCATCCAAGGCCGGTAGATGCCTCCTAGACCGTTCCCATTTGGTCCCAAACCCCGTTTTCCCCTGGAGAAGCGGTTTTAAGGGACATTCTGCTTGGCCCAGCCTTGCTGTGCTTCAGGCCTGGGACAAGGTACCCCGTTCGAGCTGAGCCCCTGGATGTGGCCACCTCAGGAGTTGGTGCTGAGCGATACCAGCTGTTCCCTTTCCTCCTGGGCTTCAGGGACCTGGTTTTGCAGAGCCACGAGGCAAATGGCAATGGGACCCATATACTGGTGCAGCTGGCTGCATCTGGTCTCCTGAATGGGCAGAGCAGTGGGGTGAGGCTTAACCCTGCTGCTTTTCCTCCCGTGGCAGGACCAGGGCGAGCTGGCTCTGCACGTGGCCGTGCGATATGCAGACAAGTCCTCCCTGCCGCTGGTGGACTTCATCATCCAGAACGGGTAAGGCTCAGACCGAGGCAGGCAGGGGATGGGGCACCCACATCAGAGCTGCACATGCATCAGGTCTTGGGAGCCACGTGCATCCAGGCCAGGAGCAAGCCAGAGACGGCACTGGACAGTCAAAAACTCTCCTGCCCATGAAACCCAGCACCCCAGGCCATTGGAGGGGTCTTCCCCAGGTGTGGCCCAGCCTGTTTATAAAGCTGGGGGTGGGAAATGCATGAGATTGCAGCTTCTCCTTCCTGCCTCTTGAGAGGCCAAGCAAAAAGCAGGAGAGAAAATGTCACCCCAAGGGACCCAGGATGGCGAGGACAGCAGGGAGACTGGATGTGGCAGGGTACACAGGCAGGGATGCTATGCCTGCAAGGGAGGGAGGCATGTGGGAGTCGGAGATACAGGGCAGGTTGGTGGACAGCATGATATGAAGTCCCCGTGCCAGAGCAAACAGGCCAGCGCCATCCTGGGCTGGGGACATGGCAGGACTTTCTTGACCGGTTTCCCCCAGGTTCATCTGCTGATCTCCTAGTGGTTATCCAGCCAAGGGAGGCTCCTAGTGCCCATGCAGGGCAGGCCAGCAGCCTTCCTCCCATTTTACAGACGGTGCAACTGAGGCACCGTGCGGTGAAATGACTTCCCCATGGTCTCATGAGCAGGGCAGCACATCCTGTGCTCCGTGTGTCTCGTTCTAGCTTGGGGGAGAGGTCCAAGACTCTTCTTGGAGGCCTCCCACATCCTTTAACTGCCTCTGCCTGCTTGCACAGGGGGAACCTGGACAAGGCAACCCTGGATGGGAGCACGGCCCTGCACTACAGCGCCCAGTACAACCAGCCCAACTGCCTCAAGCTGCTGCTGAAAGGGAAGGCAGCTCTCAGCCCAGGTAGGCTTCAGGCCTAACTAACGGGAATTCCTTCAGCGTTTTTTTGCAAATAGCTTTCCCCTTTTTAAATCAGTATTTCAGATAGAGATTATTGACCAAGTGGGTTGTTGCATGCAGGGTGTGGATGGAGCGTGGTCAGATACGTCCACGTCTTCACTGCAGTCAAATGAGTTCTGTAATCAGGTGTTACCCCTAACCCGCCCTCTGTCCACACCCACACGCAACTCGTTAACCTGAGTTCAGTCCTGTTCTCAATCCTGGCCAGGCTGGGGGTCAGAGCACAGGTTTAGATTGCATTTGTGCCAATAACTTGGTAGTGAGGACACAGATTTAAGTGTTTTCCCCTGGGACACCCAGGCAGAACAGCCCAGTTCTCCCAGATTTGCCTGGGATGGGATCGGAGCAGTTCAGTTTATTGTTATGGTTACTGTTATCATCATTAGCACAGCTTCAATTACTGTTCCTGTGATTACTATTAATTGTCTCTTTAAAAAGTCTGTGGCAGTGAGTGTATTGCGGGTGCATGGCTGCGGCCCAGTGGCACCCTCTGGGCACCGCTTTTGTCGGGGGGGGATTCCCTGAGCCTAGGAGAGGAGCGGGCATTTTCTGGGGGCTCAGACCTGGTGTCCTTTCTACCCCTCCAGTGAACACGGCCGGAGAGACAGCCTTGGACGTGGCAAAGAGACACAAACACACCGAGTGCGAGGACCTGGTAGGTTGGGTCCTCCGTGGTGGGGTGTGTGGAGGGGAGCGGTGGACAAGCCCTCTTGGGATGGGGCAGGGGTGCCTGGCATTGCCATGGGGTCAGCCCAAGGGGTCTTGTCCCAGGACAGAGGTGGGAAGAAGCAGGTTCCTGCTGGAGAGGAAGCCGGGGAGGGTCCTGAGCTATGAATTGGTGTCATGCACGTGGCAGGGGTGGCAGCCGGGCCCTGAGTTTGGTGTTTCTAGCCCTGTTTGACTGTTCAGGTTTGGGGTGGGGGGTAGAGCGCAGGTTGAGATTTAACTTTTGCTAGTAACATACTTTGCAGTGAGAGTGAGTCCTCCAGTGTCTTCCCACAATTCCCCTGGACCCCCCAAGAAAGAGCGGTCCAGTTCTCCCACACTTGCCTGGAATAAAATCAGAGTAATTCAGATCATTGAGATGCCTATTATTATTATTACTGTTATTCATTATACTAATCCATTCAGATTCTTGTTGTTATTATCAGTGGGACGACTATTATTTTTATTACGGTTATTAATTATACTAAACATCTCTTAAAGGACTCCGAGATGGGTCTCCCAGAGTCCCAGTCCTGCACTCGCACACATGCACACGCTACACGTGCAAATCCAGTAACTCGGGGCTTTGCACCGTGGTCGCTCCCAGCGGGGCACTGATCGCCCGTGTTAACTCTGCGGTGAAGACGTGCCCTGTTGCACGTGGGATTGGGGTTTGTAGCAAAATGCCCCTGCAGTAGTCCAGCATCCTGGCAACTCCACCGTGTGCTGGACGGTCATAGGAAGATGGGTCACGGGGCGATGCATCCAGGTGGTGAAGTTCAGCTCCGAGGTGTGGATGCCGCTTGGCTGCGTGGGCCTAACTGTGGCCCCGATGCCACGCGTGGCCCTGTTTTTCCTGGCAGCTGGAGCAGGCGCAGGCCGGGAAGCTGAACCTGCAGCTGCACGTGGACTACGACTGGGAGGCCCCGCAGGAGTACGCCTACGACAGCGAGGAGGAGCTGGAGGAGAAGGTACCAGTCGCTTTGCTGGGCTGGTCTGGGGGTGGGGGCACAGACTTCGCTGGCATCCCCAGGTCACGGCTTGCAGCGCCCTGCCCTATGTCATGCCAGGCACGTAGCCCCCTCCTTATGGACTCCCATCCCCATTGCCCCTCGGCTCTGGGATGTGCTCGCTTGGGGTTAGGGCTCGGATGCGGCTGCATCCCTGTAGCTCCCCTTGCAAAGCGAGGGGTGGGAGGGCAGACCCCCGCGGGGCTCCCTTCCGCTGACGGGCTGCGCCATCTGCCCTGCCCAGGTGAGCCCGCTGCAGCGATCGTTCAAGTCCACGTCGTCGCCCACCACGGGTCAGCCCGGCCTCGCCTCCCAGAACCGGTGGAGCTGCACGGGCATGGACATCACCAACAAGACCTACGAGACCATCCTGGTCCCCTCGCGGCCCAGCCCCCGGCGCTCAAACAGCGAGGAGATTCCCCCGCCGCTGCCGGTCAAAAACCCTGCCAGGGGGGGCCCCCGCACCAAGCCCGGTAAGCCCGTGCAGGGCGGCAGAGGGGAGGCAGAGCTCTCGGCTGTGGGGATCGGCTGGGGCTCTTAACCCCCCGGGGGGGAGAGACAAGCCCGGTAAGCCCGTGCAGGGCGGCAGAGGGGAGGCAGAGCTCTCGGCTGTGGGGATCGGCTGCGTCTCTAAACCCCCTGGGCGGCAGATACGGGCTGAGCTTGCCGGAGCGTGGGCGCGTGCCCCAGCCAGGGGGTCTCTGGGAGCCGCTGCAGGTGGAAGCAATTGTGATGGGGTTATTTGGGGCTCTTGAACCCCAAACAGAGCTGGGGGGGGCTCTGGTTGGTTCATGCTCTATCCCACCTGGCTCCCCCATACCTGGGAAGGGCTTTACAGCTTACAGGGGCCACAGGTAGGCCCTCAGTGAGCAACCAAAGACCCAACAGGCTCCCAGTTTGACCAGCAAACCCACTGGGACACCCCCCCCCTGATCTCCCAAACCTTCCCTGCCCAGAGCTCCCACGCCAAACCTCCGAGCCCCAAGCCAGCAGCCCACTGGAGGCCCCCGCCGTCCGAAACCTGTCCACATCCAGCGCTCCTGGCACCTTGGACAGTGGAGCCGGCCGGCAGCTCTCCGCCTCCCTGAGCCCCACGGAGACCTGGCGCGCGGCCTACTGGGAAACCCACGCGGAGACGGAGAGCAGCGCCCAGCGGAGGGGGGCTGAGACCAGCCAGGCCACGGTGCCACCGCCGGAGGCTGGCACGTCCCCGGAGCAAGTGCAGCTCAACCCTGTCAAGTTCAGGTAGGCGGCGGGGTTGGGGACACAGCTGGAGTCACTCCCAGAGGTGCGGTAGGGGCTCAGGGGCTGCACCGCAGGAGCTGAAGCAGCTGGGCCGCGGTACCTTCTCTCCACATGTCGTGAGCGTGGAAGCGGATGCTTTTTCATGCATGCAATGAACTGCGCAGTCCTCTGAGTCCGTGCAGCGTGCATGTCGGGGCACAGCTGCCGTCTTGCGGGCTGCTGGTTGTACAGCCCCAGGCGCAGCTCCTCCACACTGGGGACTCCGGCTGCAAGGACAGTCCAGGCTTGTGGCCTGTTTGGAAGAAGGAGAAGCCCGTGCTTTGGAAGGGGAGATCCTGTGGCAGCATGCACAGGAGCGGGGGGAACTGGGGGCACAGCATTGCCCCTTCCCCAGGTTTCTTAAGCAGCCTCTCTTTGCCCCCCACAGATCAGAGAGCACCCGCTCCTACCGGCGCATCAGCGGCAGCACAGGGGGCAAAGCCCCCAGCTCGGCCTCCGCCCCGCACAGCTCAGCCACCCCCGAGGACCTGCCTCTGAGCAAGGCGCCAAGTCCTGCCCCTGTGCCCATGCCCAGGAGGTTTGCTCCGGTAGGTACCCAGTGAAGGAGGGCTCCCTCCCATGCTTGCGCATTGTGGGGTGCCCGGTCTCCTCCCAGCACCCCTGACCTTGAGGACCCCGAGCTCCTTGCTCTGAGGGGGACACTCCCTGCTCTCCACTGTGTTTTTGGAGGGGAAGGGGATCCCTGTGCCCTCTCCCCCACTGACATGCACTGCTTGCTGGGGCAGGCCAAGGTGAGGCAGAAGAGGGTGAAGGCTCTGGTGGACTGCAAGGGCGACCGAGCCCGGGAACTGACCTTCTCCAAGGGCGAGGTGATCGTGGTGACCCGTGAGGAGGATGAGCAGAGCTGGGTGAGTGCCGCGGCGGTCCTCGCCTCCCCGCCCCTTCCCAGCGCTGGCGCCAGCACACCTGGGTTCCTCTGAGCCCAGCTCTCTGCCTGGCCCCCTGCCCAAGGCAGGTGACCCATTAGATCAGGCACTTTTGGAGGGCTTCATGTGAGTGCAGGGGGCATCTCCACCAGCCCCTCCAGCCTGCTGCTGCACGTAGCTGGCGTCCTCCCATCCTCTGGGGTTTAGTCCCCATTGGGGTGCAGAAGCTGCCCACCCCTCGGCCCAGCATCCCTGTGGCTTTGCACTCTCCAACTGGGCAGCCTCCCCCACGTCCTGGCCTCAGAGATGAGAGCCCGTGGCCGTGACCCCCCTCTGCCTTCTGCTCCGGGTTTGCAGGTCGGCTTCATCGAAGGAGACGGCTCCAGAACGGGCGTCTTCCGGGCCAGCTCCGTCCACCTGCTGCAGGACTGAAGGGTGTCCGCCTCCCTTCTCCTGCAGCGCGGAGGGGCGGAGAGCTCTCCTTGGACCTGGCTCGCTGCGCCCTCACCCGAGCCCTGCGTGCTCCTCGCTTTCCTCACCCCCTCCTGACCTGGCCCGCCGGAGACTGGGCACTGCAGCACGTGGGGCTGGAGCCGGAGCCGGAGCCAGGTGGAAACCCCCCGCTGTGATCCTTCTCTTGGACAGCATCGCTTTAGGACCAGCGTGGGTCTCTCGTGCTGGGTCAGGCTGGCTCTGCCCAGCCTTGCAGCTTGCTGGAGGAACCGGACCGCAGGGTCCCGTGTCTGAATCAGCCTGGGAGAAGCCCCCTGGCCCTGGCAGAGCTGAGGGCATGGGGGGTGGTGAGCTGACCAAGGGGTTTCAGACTCCTGGCCGCAGCCGGTTAGGAAGCAGAGAACCGGCAAGCTCGGTGCACAGGTGGGGTAATAGTTTTTCACCTCTCCATCCGTCCCGTCCTTCGCCTGCTTTGTAACTCCAAGGAGGAACGTGGACTCCTGCTCTCTCCTCCGGGGGCTTCCTTAGGGCTGTTTGAGGTGGGGTTCGCCTGCCTCTCACCACCCTCCCCTGGTGTGAACGTGAGAGCCCTGCTGGGCCTGGGGGCTGCTGGGGGCACCTCCTTCCCCTGCCCCAGTCCTGCAGCACCCCCGGCTCATAAAGGCAGGGCAGGGGAGGTCCGTCCTGCCGTGGGAGTCCTTCCTGTGGCCACCCGAGGGGCTACCCCCATGCTCCTGATTGCTGGTCCCCTTTCCTAGCGACCCCCCCAGACAGAAGAATGTATCAGCACGACCGCCCCGTCACGACTGCCTTCCCCACCGCCCGGCGCGTCCCCGCGATGCTCCAGGCCAGCGTGCCTATGGGGGCTACAGAAACCGGTGTGCCCGTAGCCACGTGGGCTGCTAAGCTTGGGGCACCCGACTGTGACCCCCGTGCTGAGTCCAGTGCCTGGGGTTGGACTAAAGCATTTCAATTCCTATGAGACCAAACTGTTAGGGGGGAGGGCATGGCTCATGTCATGCAAAGGGTTAATCCCCAGGATCGCCCCCTTCCCCACTTCTCCAAATAGCCCAGGAACTGCCTGTGGCCCTTTCTGTTTCCTGCCGCAGGAAATGAGGTTGCGATGTCTTGGCCCCGCGGCTCTGCCGTTCCTCCCTGCTCCGGGACGATGGAGACCCCGGTCTCCTCCGGCAGCAGCCCCTCGGTTGCCCTTGAGTTGTCCGTGCCCTGCCTCCTCAGTGCAAATACTTGAAGGGAAGGCAAGGAGCTGGGCAGGTGCCTCACTCCTGATCCTTACCAGAGGTGCCCAGATGGCCCTCTGCCCCCGTCGGTGGCACGCACCCAGGAGGAGCCGACCTGGGCATCCAGTGGCACCAAGGATAACCCAGCTTCATGTCTCCCATGCATCTCCTCCACCCACCCTGGAACTGTGAAACACTATTTTTTTTAACTAGGAAAGTGCTATTTTTGGTGCTCACAGCCACTTCCGTGTCACGCCAGGCTCAGACCGGAGTTGGGGGGCAGCTGGATTTGGATGCAGACGTCTTTCAGCCCCGTGGCTGGAGGATGTTGTTGGGTAGCGGAGCCTGGCCCGGGTTTGAGAGCCGTGGCTGGAGCGAGGCGTCTCTATTGAGGCTCAGGGGAAGATACAGACCCGGTGGTTCTCCAGACGTTCAGGTACAGATTTGGATCTGGATTATGACCCCACTTCCCAAAGGCCTGGGGCGCTGGTTGAAGGCCCTTTTGAATGTACAGATTTTCCACCGCCGCCTCTTTTCAATCCCACTAGGCTCAGAGACAGCCAGGGAGTCTCTGTCCCTTGCCGAAAAGGGGTCAGGCTGCTACTTGGTTCTGCAATCACTAGGACCAATGCTTCCTACTCGTACGCGCTTCCCTGGGGATATGTGGGATCAAACCGCCTTATGTTATAATTGTAAAGGGGCTTTTTTTCACTGAATATTTCATTGCAGAAGGGGCATTTTATTGCTTTCCCTTTTGATTTGGAATAAAATTGATTTAAAAAAAAAAATAAACACAAGGGGTTTTGCTAATGCCATAGACAGAAATAAGGGCGGAGATCTAGGCACGTCCCAAGTGAGAGCACGGGATGGTGTTGTATGGACGCAGCGCCTCATCCCAAAGCACGGAGCAGGTGACAGATCCGAGTTGCTTCACCCACCGCTGGAGGGGAAGGACGCGCTGTCTACCAGCAGCTTAAGGCCGAAATGTCAGAATATGGTCTTGTCTCGATGCTGCTGGGTGAATAAAGGTGGCTCGAATTGCACCTGGGCAGGGGGTTACTGCCATGAAATGGGCCTTTTAGTAACCGATGCTGGGGTTCTGTCACCTCCATCACGACAGCACCCCACAGCTTGAAGCTGGGGTGTTGGGTCCGGGAGCGGCACCCCTGCTATATCTCAGCATCGTTTCCTAGAGCACCCGAGTCCAGGGGGCTCTCACCCAGCTATAGATGTGGCAACTCTTCTGCTTCTTGCTCTCCAAAAGCTGCAGCATCCTCTTGGCTCCTTTGATGCAGTCCACATTGGCGTAGGTTTTTTTTTAGCGAGCATCCAGGTTACTTTTATCCTGGAAGTGGTCAAAGTTTTCCCCCGTCCGCCTGCCAGGCTTCTCAGTGGGAAGAGTTGAAGGCAGTCCTGAGCCATCGCTTCCCAGTGGCGGTCGTGGCATCACAAGATATCATGTGCATTCCCACCTGGCCCTTGGCATTAATTGGTCGCTCAGCTCTCCCGAGACATCGTTTGTGTGTCCGTCCCAGCACGAGACCACGGGGTGCAGCCTTGCTCAAAGGTTTGAGAAAGCAAATCCCCATTCCCCAGAGCCCATGAGCTTCTTCCACCTGGGAGACCTCAGTGGTGGGCTCCCGGGAGCTCAGCCCCTTTGCATGGCTCTGCTCAGCCCTGGATTCAGCCAAGCTTTGAAGCATGTGCCTAAATCCCCTCCACTTCAAGGCAAGCTCAGGGACGCGCCGAGCTCATCAGCAAAAGGAAGCCACTTCTTTGCCATCCTGAATGTGGATGCTCCCGAAACGCGGGCCCTCCTGTCCTCTGCAGCCTTTGTCTTGCCATGCCCTTGCCTGGGAGAGCACGAGCCGGACACTCGGTTTTTATCGGTTTCCTTTTCAAAGTGCTTGGCTTAGTTTCACTCTCGACTCTTTTGCAAGAGCGCAGTGTTGCTCTAGGCCTGGTCGAAAGTTTTGTTTATTCTCCGGAGATCTTGGACGAGGAAGTTTTTCTAGATTGGAGGGGGTTTTATTCCGCCTTTCCTGCCCCCCCAGTCTCTTGGCAGCGGTTGTGTTATCAGCCACATGCATATCCTTCCCTCCGCCACCCCCAGCGCTGCCTGGCAGCCTCCTCCCACGTGAGCTGCACTCTCGAGTAGTTTAGAAATACACCGCCTTGCTCTGAGCTTACACTTAGCAAAGAAACCAGCAGGTAAGTCAAACCTGGCGCTGACCTCGGACCTCCGCCCAAAGGTGTTGCCGGACGTACGTGAAGCCCCGAAGGCTCCGGTTCTGCACACACCAAAGACCTTGCACGCTCGCAAGTGAGCCCAGGCTCCCTCCCTAGCACGTCGGGCCCTCGTGCCCGTGTGATTTTGTACGTGCTTTGCCTCCAGCTGACCCTCGGAGCTGAATTCACGACATCCACCAGCTGGTCTTGGCTCCGCGCCCGTGATGAAAAGGAGCAGCAGGCAGACAGCTCATGTGTTTCCAAACACCTTGAATGCAAACTTGCACCAGGCCACCATGCCTGGCTGGGATCCTGCCTGCACCACGAGCCTGTGCTCGAGGCTTCACGCTGCCCGTAACAGGGGATGCCTTCCTGACCCCTCGGAGCTGGTCGGCCTGTGCCCTGAAGCATGGGGGTGGCTCGCTAAAGCCGGCTGAAACTATTCTGTCCAGCCTTTTGGGCGGGTTTTGGCTAAATGAAATCCCTCCCCAACACACTTCTGATCCAAACAAGCTTTGATGCAAATAATTAGCAATGTCCCAATTAGCCGGAGGATTTTTCAGCACTTTAAAATACTGCCTACCCAGCTGGCGTTAGCCTGACCACCCCCCAACAAGGTGTTACTGTAAGTATTAACCTGTGGAGCTTGTTGCAGCGAGGGGGGTCAATTTAATACCACTTTATTTGAGATGCTATTTAGAACGAAAGCCATGAGCTGGGATAGGGACGTCCATCCCTGAACCCTCACGTTTCAGGGCACACGCCGGTCTCCAGCTGCGGTCAGGAAGAAATGACCGCCGACCGGGCAGGAGCGCCGCACGAGTTGTGCTCTGCAGGGCTGGGCACCGGGCAGGACCGTGCCAACAGATCCGGGGAAGGGTTTCTGGGTGAGGTTTCCAGCCTGATGTTGCACCCGAGAGGCTGGCTTTAGATGGAACAGCCGAACATTTGGGGCCCCTGACCCCAGCCCAGCCTGCACGAAAGGTAGTAAGACCCTACGTCGGCACGAAAGGTAGCAAGTCCTTACACTGGCGTGGAAACCTTCCCTCTGCTCCCAGTTCGGGGTGCTTTTAGGGTGGGATCTGACTAGCAAACCCTCCGGCGAGGTGGGGCACGAGCTGGATTCTCCGAGGATCATCCTGTGATCCCTGCTGCCCCCGAAAGCCGAGGGGCATTCCCAACCCTGAGCAAACTCCCACCCGCCTGCAGCCCCCTGGCCCGGCGCAGCCTCTCCCCACCTCCCTGCAAGCTCCAGGCTGCTTAGCCTTTAACTCCTATATTTAGTCCAGCCCCCCTGTGCTATTTTGACTGCATGGCAGCCGTGTATAACTGGTCGGGGCCGCCACGCCTCCTTTTCTGCTTTCTCTCCGGCTTGCCTTCGCTCCCTTTCTTGTTCTCCCCTCTGCCCCCCCTTTCCTGCCAACTGCCCCCAAAAGCAGGAACAAAAGTCCCACTGCCCCTTCATGCCCGCGCCCCCCGTCCCTCGGCCCCCCAAACCCAGATGAAAGCAGAGCCAAAGTCTCCCTTCTGTGAGCGCCTTTCCTGCCTGTTGTTCACCGCCTCGCTTCTCTCCCCCGCTCGCGAAACTTTGGAGAGCTCGGAGCTGGGATTATGGGGCAAGCGGAGGAGCTGGCGCGGATTGCCAAGAAGCTGGATAAGATGGTGTCCAGGAAGAACCTGGTAAGATCCCCCCGCTCTGTCTGTGCTCGGGTTGAAACTTTGCAGCCTGGGTGTGTGTGCAGAGGAAAAGAAACGGGAGAAACTCCAAGCAGGGCCTGGCTGGGAGGGCGGCTCGGGCTGTTTTGTAGCTTGACGGCCTGGAAATGAGAGGTCCCGTGTTCGGGGTGCTTGCAAACCTGCAGCTCGGATCAGCCCCCCACCCCAAAAGGCAGAGCCTGCCTGGCTTTGCCGCCAAGACTATTCTCCTTGGCGGCTATGGGAAACCCCTTATGGTGCCACGCAGCCCCGCGGTCCCCAAATGATGCTGCTTTCTCCTTCCGCCCGGTTCACCTGGGTTTTGCCGCTTTCCTCACTGTATTCAGAGTCGACCAGGACTCTGGGCGCACGGGAACCACGCGAGCCCATCTTCTCCGTGCATGTGCAAGTCGAGGCAGTCGAGTCCTATTGGAGTCGCCCCGCCACCCCTAGCTCTGGGCCGGCAGGGTTTGGAGGGGGAGCGACAGGTGTTTGGCACGAAACCAGTCTCGGGCAGGGGCTCGCCCAGACAGAGCAGGCTGGAGAGCAGGGCACGGGAGGGGAAGAGGGATAGAAACAGCTGGGTTTTTTTTTTCACAAGAGTGTGCAAAAGTGCACAGCGGAGCGGGGTGGATCTGAGCATGACCCAGGGCTCTTGCATGTCACGGTAAAGTGGTTTGGACTCCGGGATAAGCAGTCCTTGAGAACAAACAGGGCAGGTGTCTCCACCCTCCCGGAGCTCTTTGGGTGCCCTGGGAAAGCAAACAGGTTCCTGTAGGTGGGCCCAGCCCGCTCCGGCTTTCCACCCGCCTTCCCCGAGGTGCCTGCTGGGCGGTGGGTTTGTGCTGCAGGGGCCAGGGTCTCAGCTGGGGTAAAGGGGCGTCTTTCTGGACTGCAATGGTAACGCCAGCCCAGGATCTGGCCCTTGCAATCAGGATCAGGATCAGGATCAGGTCCAATGTGCAGCAGAGGAGAGGCAGGTCCTTGAAGTTAATGTTTTACTCTCCTTCTCGTGGCCTTTGTCCCAGTGCAATGCCATTAACCCTCTGCCGTCCCTTGCAACCCGCGCTGGGCTGGAAAGCCGTCGGGGCTGGAAAGCCGTGAGCGCTGAGCTGGCTGCAGGGCCGCCTGGCATCCCTGCCCTGCCGGGCACTGCTTCTCTCCCCGGGGCGCGGGCGCAGGCACAGGGGAGGGCATCCACCTGCACACCCATGAGGCCAGCAGCTCCGAGTGCGCGCGCGTGTGTGCACATGCATGTTTAAAAAAAAGGGGAAGGAGGTTAACAGCTTCTTCACGTGACCTCTTTGCAGCACAGACTCGGCCCCGGGGCTGGGTCCCTTGCTGCAGGGGTGCTGGAGCCTCCCCTGGCGCAGCACATACATGCAACAAGCAGTCTGCTCTTCCTTGCACCTTGTGCTGTCACGAAATGCCAGCCTTTGGCCTCACTGCTGTCTATGGCCGCCTGCCGCTCCGCCTAGGCACCTCTTGCTCCTTGAGGTTGGTCTGTCCAAACGGAGCCGTGCTGGGGGAGGCTGCGAGCCCTGCACACTCACCAGGCCTGGATGGCTTCCAGCTAATGACCGACCACGAGGCCCTTGACCTGCTCCCCAAGAGCAGAAGCCTGGACATGGTGCATCGTAGGTGCCAGAGTTTGCACGTGCGTCTATAAGCCTATTACAGGTATGCCAGGGACTCCCCAGGGGCACCCTTCTTGCACTCCCATAGCCACAGCTTCACCAGCGGCTGCTTCATGAAATCAGAACGGGTTCAAGCAGGACCGGTGCTGACACACACCCACAGCCCGTGTCCACGGCTGGACCTGTTACTTCTCCTGGTGCCACTTCCAGCTCGTGACACCTATACAGCGAGAAGTTGCCAAAGCCGGAGATCTGATCCCTTGTTCGGGGCAGCATGTGGAAAGGGGTACATGGAGAACGACCGGTCCTTGCCGAATGCCGAGTGTGAGCTTGAATGAGGTTGGGCTGTTGGTTACCTATGAAGCAAGACTGAAAACAAAAGGCAGAGTCATGCATACCTTGCAAAAGAAGCCTTCCCAACCCAGGGTTTAGGCAGTAGGTCCTTGAAGTGGATGTCACAAGTGCTGGGAGGCAAAAGCAGAGGTGCCTGCCTGGGATCCATTGCCCATCTGCAGCTCCGTAGCAGCCTTGTGCCACCCTAGGTGACGGGAAAGGGTCAAAAGTGTCTTTGCTCATTTTTGCAGGCACTGACACTGGGCCAGCTCTGATCCCAAATTCTTAGGGGACAGGGATTTCAAGCTGGTGACGTTCAGGCTTCCAGAATGGGACGTCTTGCAGCATAGATGGGTCTCAGGCCTGCCGCTATAGGATCTCTGCTGGGCTCTGGGACACCCCGAATTAGCCCCCAGAGTGAGTTTGTTGCCTGTGGGTTGGTGGACAGGAACAAAACTGCCAACTTGGGAGGTAAACCTTTGTCTTGAATGGCC